TATTTGTTATGTCTAAAGCTCATATTTGATATCAAGCCTGGACTAAAGAACTGGCTAGAACCAGAGACTATCTAAAAGAGCCTAACAATACAAAATAGGCAGATGCAATTAGCCTATGGCTGGCATTGTGATTAGTTGTACACACCAGTTAGAAACCTAGAACATGGCTCCTACTACTTTCTAAATGCCCCAAAGACATGAAAAGCTATTTTTATGTGATACTACAGTCTCTTTTATATGTGTTTCACTTGTCACGGTAGTGATTTGTGGAAGAGGCTCTCCAATCCCCATTGTTGCTGACAATTTTTGGAGTACAGTAGGGCTTACTTAGCACAGGAAATAATTGTGAGCTGTTGCATTTATTGTTAATATTATTAGATTTTGCTGATCCTGGTTGCCAACTAATTCTTTCAAGTACTATGGAGGAATACAACATAACACCATGAAAGTAAGATTAAGATGTTAACTTTTTTGAGCACCTACCACGTGCTATATCCCATTTAATACTGAATAACTTGATGATGTAGACATTATTAGCCCCAGTTTATAGATCAAGAAACTTAAGCATGCCTCGTGACTTTAGCTTATAGTCTAGTTGGAGATACACCACACAGTACAATGAAATTTGTTATCTATATTTTGGGGAAAATTTAGGATTTTCTCAGTAGCTTAAAGAAACAGTGGAATCTTCAAATTGCAGATGATTATACTAATAATATTATGAACAGAAAATATTTGTAGCTATTTCATGTATAATATTTTTCCTACATTTTCTTCCTTACAACTGTGGAGGCAGTGGCTTTCATTTCAGAAGGAGAGGGTAAATATAGCTGAGGACAAAGAAGTTATTGCTCAGGCTTGAATTTCAAAATAGAGTGTTTAATGTCATTCTCTGACACAATAGTCAGAAAGCCAAACACTTGCTGAGAGATTTTTCTTGAAATTTCAAAAGCTGTACATTATGTATCAAGCTAGGAGAAATAGGGATAGATTGTGATTATTAGCCACAGACTACAAAAGAGTGGTTGATGTAGTATCTGATTTCCCACCCCAAGGGAAACAAGTGTTTCACCATCTAGAAAGAGAGAGTGATTCAAAGTGAGTCAAACTATAGTATGAATCCCGGTGGATGCCTAATAACAGGCCCATCACTAGGATTAAAAGTTCAAGGTGGGTATGGCAGAAACATCAAAATATTAATACCTTTAATAGCATCTCTTATTCAAGTTTGTGCTTCTCTTCCCAAAATATAACTCTGGAAGTCTACAAACCTCTAAGAACATCTCAGATCTACAATTGGTCTGAGCAACAAAGTATCAATTTAGAGACTAAGGGAGATCTCTACAGACATGGGCCAGAGGACCCACTCCCCAGTGGATTCTTCATACCCTAGTGAGACATGAACGCGTCTGAGCTAAGTGTTTCTGACGTGAGCGTGAAGTGCTGAAAGGGTGGAAGGATTTGACAGAATGGAACATTCAGATAAGAACATAAAGTACTTGAGTGATTAGTAGTCCTGGGGGATGTACAGAAATTTTAAAGACAGTTTCAGTGACTGCAATTGATCCAGTAGTTGGACACCTCAGCGGAGGCCAGAGACAGCAGAGGCAGAGGATGGCACAGGGAATAAGTACCGCTCCCACAGCATGTCTCTCTCTCTCACACACACAGACCTACACACACACACATGCCTACCCTTTTTATGAAGTGTCAACACAACAAAATTCTCAGAAACCTTAGATATTGACATGAACAAATTGAACTAAAAATGTATATTACATCCCACGTGCACACACACACACACACATGCACACACACAGAACCCAGCAGAAGCAGCAGTACCAATTGCATAGGGAAGAAGGAAAGAAGAACATACTGGCTCAGACAAAGCAACTTGATAAGTTTGTCAAGGAAACATACATTTAACAAGTACAGAAATTAGGCCTTGTTAAATACCTTAATATCAGTTATAGGTTTTTTAAAGTGATATTTTGTCACATCAGAGTTTGTGACAATGACCATAAATTTAAATCTACTAAACTATAAATTAAAAACCTCGACTTTAATAGTTTATAAAATATTTCCATTTATTTATCCCATTTGATTCTTATGAGCAAATGGTAAGATAGATATTAATATTTTTTCTTCATACAGATGAAAGAAACAAGGCTTACAAAAATTATACGGCCTGTTTCAAATTTCCTCACTATTACTTGGCATGGGTAGAATCCATATTTAGGTTTTACAATGTCAAAACTCAAACTTTATTCACTATTTTGCATTTGTTTTATTTTATATTTATCTATTCAATTTATAAAACTAAATGCTTAATATATTATTTCATATAATTTAGAATATAGGCCTGATCATATTATGCCTGATAAAGTACAATGTGTCTATAGGTTAGTCATTAATTTCACATCTGGTTTATTCATTTTGTTGGCTATTCATTTATCCTTCAAATAAATATTTAATGAATAGATAATGTATGTTAAGAGCTAGGTATGCAAAAAAATAAGATGCCATTACTGATAAAATCATGGTCATCTTACTGAAAAAGAGACACATCAACAACTAAAATATAACATGATCAGTCTTACAGCAGAAATGTACGTAAATCACTTTCAAAACACAGAGGAAAAAAACCACTAACTTTCCCTGGGATGGAAGGAGGCAGAAGGTATAGAAAGCCTTCAGGGAGAAAACGACATTTGGAACTACAATCTAAGGAATGAGTAGAAGGAATTTTTCAGTATTTCTGGCAAATAATAAGGCTTGGGCAAGACAGGGTATATTTTTAGAGCTCCTAATAGCTCAGTGTGGCCAGAATATTGAATGCACATAGAAGGGTGTATTAGTCCATTCTAACACTGCTATAAAGATACCTGAGACTGGGTAATTTATAAAGAAAGGGGTTTAATTGACTCACAGTTCCACACGGCTGGGAGGCCTCAGGAAACTTACAATCATGGAGGTAGGTGAAGGAGAAGCAAGGCATGTCTTACATGGCAGCAGGAGAGAGAGATAATAAAAGGGAAACTTCCAAACACTTTTAAAACCATCAGCTCTTCCAAGACCTATCACAAGAACTATCATGGCTCTCTCTCACTATTACAAGAACAGCATGGGGGAAACCAACCCCATGATCCAAATACCTTCCACCAGATCCCTCCCTCAACACATGGAGATAACAATTTGAGATGAGATGTGGTTGGAAACACAGAGCCAAACCGTATCAGAGGGTGAAGCAGAACCATTGTGTGAATACGTTATCCATATCAAAGAGCTGGGGGACAAGGAGTCAGTGATGGTTTAATCAGGAGAAGTGTCCTACGTAGACCTGTGTTTCACAAAATCTCAAGGTGGGAGGACCCCATAGAGGTGAGAGTGAAGGAAGAAAAGTCCAGAGGAAGTGAGGGATCAGTGAGGTCCATTCAGGGCCCAGTGGAATCAGGCAACAGGAGACATTAAAGAGTCCTGAACTGGGGAACTGTTGTGGGAACAATGACAGAAAAGGAAAATGAAAACTATTTAGGAATTGGAGACCATAAAATTAGAAGAAAAAGCGTATGCTCATAAGGGAAGAAAGAAGTAGAATATTTTAAGTTTGGATGAGTAAGTAATATAAAGACAAAGAGAAGGGATTGAAGAAGGAAGCCATTTCCTATCAAAAAGGAAAACACTCTGTTGTATTGTACCACATTTTGCTACTTGCATACTTACAAATATCCCAGGGGCACAACAGATATCTAGATATGCAAACATGTACAATATATTTCTTCAGTTAAGTATACTGAATGCAAGAGAATACCTCTACAAATGTCATTATTTAGATGTAGATGTGAAACAGCAAGAACATTTTGGGAGTTACTAGAGTCACTTGAATTCTATATTGTTCCTCAGAATTCGGAAAATAGAAAATCCAAAGTTTAACAATAAATGGAATTTCTTAGAATCTCAGTTTTGTTGCTAAATAATCAACAAAGGGTAGTATTTTAAAGAATTAAGGCACAAATTTAAATAATACTCAAAATGCCTATAATAAACTTTGGTAAAATGCCTTTTTTACATCAATAGTTCAATTTTTAAAATTGACACTGATATCTATTCAGCTGAAAGATTTATTTCATTTTTCAATTATGATAATAATAAATAACAGTTATCAAGAGTTACTGGAATAATTTTAAGTAGATGGTATGTAGTACCTCACTGAATTCTCCCCCTTAATAATCTAATAGATTATTTAGGATCCCAGAAAAAGAGAGAGGCCCTCAGCTGCTGGCCAGTCCCTACTGCACTCAGTCCCCCACCACATTGAAAATCTCCCCAACTCACAGTTTTCATGCCAGACACCCTGAAGACTGAAAGAGGCTTAGGGAGCCCCATTTTGCCATGTACCATCAATAAAGTCATCTGTCTCCACCCCGCCCCCAAATGAGAATTTTTTTAAGTCTAGAGGAAATTATTGGGAATCTTCTAAAAGGAAAATTAATTCTACAAAGAAGGCATTTACAAAGATTAGTTTGACAAATGGTGACAGAGACTAAAGTGAGAGAACAATTACAATAATATTTAAGTTCTTACACATAGGGAAGGAAGGACAAGGAAAGAAAAGTCCTTTAAGTAGGTCAATATTTTAAATTGTCAAAAATTTAAATTAATTTTATTTCAGTATTTTGACTTATCCTCCAACATCTGGATGTAGTAAAGCTGGCTGACTATCAGACTAGCTCTTGGTAATTTCACCATTTAACAACAGTAGATTTAAGTCTACAGTAAACCTCAATTCTTTACAGAGTTACAAAAATTTGTAGTCTCTCCATTTTAAGAATCACTTTTGTAAGCCAGATTTTTAGCAGCTGATTTCATCTGTGACATAAAAGAAGCAAAAGCAGTATCTTGTACAATGTTTAAGATAAACAACTGAACAGTTTGCTAATTAAACGTCTTACAAGAATATATTTCTTGGTAATAGTTTATGTAGTTCTTTCTGAACTCACCGGTGGCTGGCTGTGTCATTCTGACAGGGTCCGTGGCCCTCATTTAACAGGCTGCAAGTGTTTTATCACATGTTGTACTTCCAAGAAATGTTTACTGTGATAGCTCACAACTTATTCTTGACATCTGCAGACTCTTTCAAAGTATCTATTTTTGTGTTTATGGTGCAAATTAGTATTGGTATCATACACACTTACACATATGATGGAAATTATTTTCATAATGACACAATATGTAAATATATTACACTATGTGCAAGATATATACCATTTATCAACTTTTTAGAAGCTTTGAATTTCATCTAGCCTGATCTATGCAAATGGTAGAGGCATCTTTGGAAAGATTAGAATATTCTACAACACAGAATTCTCCTGATGTAATAAAACTTCCCTGGATTCTTCTAGCTCTTCAACAAAAGGAAAAGGTACCTTTTTGTCTATAAATGGTATATGCTTCCCTTTTGCTCCTTGAATTGGCAGAAAGATCTTTAATGATTATATATTTTCATTCTTTTGTTAAAAATCATATTTGCTCACAGAGTAAATATGGTAAGGATTACATAAAGAAAAATATATATATTATGCCTAGATGAGTTCCTCAAATAATAGTAGGTCCCCAATAAATATTAACTCCTTTCTTCTCCTTTTATTCCATTAGAATACAAATTCATTTTGAAGTAGTTTTGTAAAGGTTTGAGATAAAGCATTTCAAAATATCAGGAACATATAACTGTGTATCAGTCTAGCAGTTTACAATCAATGAACATGGATGGAACATTTTCTTTAATATTTTTCTATATGTACAGTGTCAAAAGAGAAGATGATAGTAGTGGCTTCCTCTAGAAAGTGATGACTGAGTTGAAATTTGAAGATAAAATAGTAGTTAACCAGATAAAAAGAGAAATGAATGAGAACAACACATGCAAAGTGCCTGAGGTGGCAGGAAACAAGGCCTTTCCTAGGCTGAAAGAACACTCACATTTGTGGACACTGAGGAAGTGAAGCTGGAGTGTAGATAATAGCTAGACTTACAGGAATCCATATGTTTTCCTATGAGGCACAGGTCTTTATCTCAGTCTTTATCTCAAAAGAAATTGCAAGGCAATAAATTGTTTTAATTGGGGAAGGGGTAAGATGGTTCAGTTTGTATATCTAAAGTATTATTTCTAAAGTATTATTAAGGTAATAGTGTGTTAGATTGCTTTTCTTAATTAAAATTACTTAATCTTCACAACATTTATGTGAGATGGGTATTATGTTCACTTTAGGGATAAGTTATGATGTAGAGAGTTAAAATAACTTTTCTGAGGTCACCTAGCTAAAAAGTAACAGAAAACAAATTTAAATCCATATCTTTGGTATTACTGAAATTCAACTATGCATGCCACTAAACCACAGCTGTTGGCAAAACACAATTTTGAGAGATATTTGATAAAATAAAATTTTGAAGGCCAGGGTAGCAGATGGCAAGGGAGTAACAGAAGTTAGGCAACAAAGAGTAGTAAAACTTCTAAGTCTTCTAAAATAGAAGACCCCCAAAATAACCTCAAATATTTTTATCTAATGGGATAACAGAGAAATAAAATTTAAGGAAATAATAATTCTTTCCACCTTTGCCTCTGAAACTATTTTTTGCTGATCAGCCTGGGGTTCACTTTCACAAAACTATAGCCGATGTCAACTGGATATTTAGGATGAGAGAAGTAAGCGATTCCAAGCATTGACAAGTACAAAACCAGCCATCCTAATGAGCCATATTCATCAAAATGAGTAAGTCTTTTCATCTGCTGCAGATTACCCTAGAGTTGTGTTTTTTCTCTGCCATTTTGCTTATTTAGCTGGGCACAGAAGATATTCATTAAGAGGCAGAACTGGCAGTCCCAAATACCTTTCTGTCTTGGAGAGGCCTTGCATACATACTGATAATTGGTGTGATGAAATGAACCCCTCAGAAAGTCTTTGTGTGGATAATACCACTCTTTGTCAATCAAAGAAAAAAAATTGAGAGAGAGTGCAATGCAGCCCTATTTGTACCCATAAAACAATTCAAATGACTTTGCTAAACCCCAAGTTTGTTGACAAATCTGTAGCTGAAAATAACAAATAATGCCTATATTTTTATATCATTTCCCCAACTTGGGGCAAGTTATTTTTCTGTTAAAAAAAGAAGTGAGAAATTATAAAATAATTATGCATTGGCATAATAATTCTTGAACATAAAACATAGTCATTTTAAACACAGCAGTCTTACTTGTCTCTGTTTTATATACTGGAGTTCTTTGTAATATCTTACTGGATAAAAGCAGTCCACAATTATAAAAATGTTTCAAAACCACTGACCTAGTGGTGACTGTGTTACCCTTGAAAGTAGGAGTACAACTAGTTTCCCCAAAACACCTAAGCAAGTAGCAACATAAATAATCTAATCTATTTACTTCTGAAGAATTTAATTAGATATATTTCATATTTTCGTGATTCCATTTAACAAAACAAAAAAATTTATTTGTAAAAGTATAGTTAATTTAATAATAGTTATAATCCAAAGTTTTAGATACAGTAGGTCTGAACAAAAATAAAATATATAATATTTTGAGTATGAAAGGGAATTCCAGGCTTTATGAATTGATAGTTATCTCAAAAATGCTTAAGTATGTCCATTCCTAAATTATAAAATGCTCCATAAATCCTCCAGATATTATAAAAAAATAAAATTTTATTTTATAACTAAACTTCAATGCTTGAAAGATAAGAAACTGTTTAACCAAGCTAAAATTGATTTGTTTAGATATTAGATATTTAGATTAATATCTAAATTTTAATATGAATGTTATTTTTCCCCAAATGTCTTATAACTTAGGAAAAGAGGGCAAAAATAATTTACTTGAGAAATTTGTAAGCTGCATTTCAAGCTAATCAAAGAAGAAAAAATATCAAAACATACTCATAAGTACAACTGCATTAAACAGACTTGCATCCTGGCCAGGATACAAGAGCCAAGGAAGAGACCCAGGGAACTCAACAATTGGCATCCATTACTGCCATTCCTTTGGTGCCAGTCCACTCAGAGGCAGTTATATTAAGAAGGAAAACACTGTCTTTCAAAGTATACGTGCTAAACTACTACCAAAGAAGTAGATAAAGATTTGGAATGAGCTGGAATTCCTGATGGCATCACTGAGTCACTTATACCAGATGGTTGCTTAACCATTTGTTCCCTTGCCATACCAGGCATGGTTATGTGACTTGTTTTGGCCAGCGGAATGCAAATGGACCTAAAATATGCTATGTGTGAGCAGAAGCTTTCATTGAACTTCAGTTGGCCAGTTTGACCTCTTGCTTCTGTCCTCTACCAGGAAAACAGCATATCTGAGATGAAGGCTGCTCCTTCAGCTTGGATCCTGGAGTGAGAAGATTGGGTAAAGAGAGCTGAGTGGAGTTGTTGCTATCCCACAGGTCTGTAGGGGAGAAATGAATGTTTGTGGTGTAAGCCACTGAGATATTTTGAGATTAAAATTACCACTGCAAAAGCTAACTGGAAGAAAGGGTAAAATAAGTATCTTAGTTAAGCTACTAATCATTAATACTTCTTTTATTTCCAGCTAAATACACTCCTAGATGATGTATCCATGAGCAAAGCACTTTCATTCTACTTATTTGTGCACCCTCTGGGCAATAATCTACAGCATGTCTTAAATGACAGAACTCAGCTGTGAAAAATTTTGAAGATGAAGAGCTCTAGGATAAGGTACCACACATGGGACAAATTGCAAATGGGTGTAACCTTGCCCAGAGAATCCCACAGCATGGATCCCTTGGTAGCGCTGCAAGAGGCTAAGGAAGTGCTTGAGATGGGTGGCTTAAAACAAACTCTATCAATGGTTTACACTCTTCTACTCATCTTAGGAATCCAAGTATAAAAGGACCAGGAGTAAACTGCCCTTCTAAACCGTAAAGCATACTGAATAAAGATGGAAGAAATTAGTATTTTCTTTTCATGCCAAAAAAATAATTAAAACAAAGCCAAGATAGCAACATAAGGTGAGTCACTCTAATGCATACCCAAATTTCATGTATTTAAAAACTTTTTTCTTAAAATGAGGCTTTAATTATTTTTCCCTATAGAAGTATTCATTTCCAGTAATTGTATTTAGTAATAAGTGTTTACATTTATAAGTTGATGCTTCTTCAATATGTCAGCGTTATTCAGTTTCCTTCATTCTGTCAATGTTCTAGTTACACATGAATAAATTAGTTCCCTCTCCAGATTCTCCAGTCAACAAATTGTACTTATATGTATTCAGTTTCTCATGCCAGAAATCTTGGAACATCCTTGATACCACACTTTCTTTCATTAGCCCTCACTACTATCAATTCAGCAATGAATCCAATACCTTCTACAAAGCTTATTTCACTTCCATCTACCTGTTCCCATTTCCACTACCAAAATTCTAGCCCAAGATAATTTACTGTCCAACTCACTGTAACATCTCCTAATTCATGAATCTCTATTTCCACTCTGACCTTCGTCTAAATAGAAGCTATGTAAACATAGGAGCCCGAGTAATCATTTAAAAATCTCAATCAGTTCACACCACTTTTGTGTTTATAAATGCTTAATGACTTTGCACAGAATGTAGGATAAACAACTTCAGTTCCTAACCTGGTCAGTAAGTCCTTGGATGTCTGGCTCATGTCTGCCTCATATTATGCCAGTTTCCCTCTGCTCCCCATATCCAGTCACACTGGCCTCCTGCCAATCACATTGCCCTCCAATGTACCATCCTCTTCTGATTTAAAGTTTTGCATTTGCCATTTGCCCTGACTAGAATTCTCCTGTCCTCTTTCTTTGTCTGGCTAACTTCTATCATCTTAGAGGTTTTATTTCAATAGAAGTTCATCAAAGATGCTGCATCTCAGAACTTCAAAATATTCACTCTGAGTACCTTGGTCTTTTTCTTCTTAGCTTTTATCATAATTAATTTGTAATTATATATCCCTAGAATTATTATTTATTTAAAGTCTGTCTATACCATTAGACTGTAAACTCCATGAAATCAGAGACCAGGTATGTACTCAGCCGTGCCTAGCATGAGGCTTGGCACACAGTAAATATTTAGAATGAATGAATGCAGGCAGGCAAGAACTTAGTAAAATTTATTAAACAGAAAAAGTTGCAGATTCCAGTAGATACGGTAGAGTTTATTATAAAAGTTCTCCCAATAATATACAGAATGAGAAAATATCTTGCACCCTAGTTTCTTTGATTTGTTTCCAAATCCGAGGAGCTGTTCTTGAGTTGTACAAGAACAGTAGCTTAGTTCTTAGACTTCTGGTATATTAAAATATGCTTGTGCACAAAATTTCCAACTGAGAAAGTCAAAGTGCTTAAGACTTATAAGATTTTCTCAAATAGATTGATTTTTTATCTTTTAAATAATATATTTGTGTGTTAAATAATAACTTTGTTAAAAATTATATCTTTAATCAGTCATAAAATGGAATATATTTTAATATTACAATCCAAATTAGTGGCATACTTATTTCTGTAGTTGTGACACCATAAACTGGAAATCAGGATTCTACTTTTAATAGAATAGGATTCCACTTACACTTTGTCTCTCAAACTCAATAAATTCGAGAAAGAGGGAAGTATAGGTTATTCTCTATTAACAAACAACTCCCCAAATCCCAACATATCAATGCTTTATTTCTTTCTCACACCACATGTCAAATACATATGTGCTAAGAGGACTGCATTTACTGTAGTTGTTCATGGACCAGGATGATGGAGGCTCTATCATGACATGTACTTCCACAATTACTATATTAGGGAAAGAGCAGACAGTGCACTGGGTCATAAATACTCCTATTCAGGCCAGGTGCAGTGGCTCCTGACTGTAAGCCCCACACTTTGGGAGGCCAAGGCAGGAGGATTGCTTTAGCCCAGGAGTTTGATACCAGCATGGGCAACATGGCAAGATGCTGGTTCTACCAAAAAAAAAAAAAAAGCATCTATTGAAAAGAGACACTCCTTACCTTTTGTTCTGATTGCCTCAACCAAAGCAAGTCATATGGCTATGACTGGGAAGCAGAATCCTATGATATTCTCAGAAAGGAGGAGAAGAAGGAATTGAGGGATAATGGCTACAAGGTCATTTAGAGGCATTCAGAAGAATAAGTGGAACGATTCATTCATTGAAACATTCATTCACACAACATGCATCTTCTTCTGCACCAGGCTGTGAGCTAGTTTGCTTGGGATAAAATATCCAGTGAGTCTCTACATATATGCTGGTTTGGGAAACAGTCATTTTAATAATTATTTAAACAATGATACTGGGAATGAATGAATGGTCCATATATTGAAGTATCCTAAAAATACCAATATAAAGTGACCTTTGTGTGATCACTCAAATCACACAGTTTAAAGGTTTAACCTTTTTTATTTTTTTAAAAAAGATAGGTGGAGAATGTAACCAAGGGATTCTGAAGTTTCATTAAACTATATTCATATTCAACTTAACGGTGATCTTTACTCAGTGTGAGGGTAAATTTCTCAGTCGACTCACATCCAGAAAAAGAGAATACAAAACCCAAGTAACACTTTAGGGTTTTTCTTTTTTTGTTACCTTCCTTTTTAATGTAAATACTAGAAGCTATCATATTACATTTTATTATGTTGATTCATTAAATTATAACTCTTGACGCCCAATAAAGTTTCTATTTTCTACACTAAAATATGCTATTTTTCCATTGTTAAGCAATAATATTAAACCATTAAGTGGCATTTAAAACAAGGAAGTATTCATCTATATTACCAGAACTAAAATACAACTTTTTTTCATGCATTTCTATTTTTTGCACATGATTATACAAAGAAATTCTACTAGGGAAGAGGGGGAAGGAGATTAATATTCCTTTATAGAAATTATGGATAAGTTTACCCTTTTTATATGGAACTTAAACATGCATAACAGTTCTAGTAGTTTCTTCTTGTACCAAAGTACAAAAGTACATCATCTTTGCATCCAGCCCCCTGTGTTCACATCCCACATTGATGTCTACTGTGTTTGAGTTTCAGTGGCTTGCTTTTTGTCTGTAGGAAGTAAACCTTAGCTATAACGAGGCAGAAAAAGCAGGTAAACAAACAAAAAACGTCCATCCTCCTTATATTACATGTGTAAATAACCGCTCATTAAATAAAATTAGATAGTGCAAAAGATAAAACAGGTATTATTATGGAGTAATTGAAACCCTGGACTGCGAGAGGTTGACATCTTGTATTACTGTTAACACCTAGACTTAGGACATTGAGATTTTGTCATGTAAAATGGTGTGTGGGATTACACTCACAGATGCAGAAATATGTTCCGTTCTATCACACCCACGAGCCTCTGAACAGTACACTGAAAGCTGGCATGAATAAGAACCATTTTACAAAGGAAAAGCATAGCTAATGTGCTGATATGTGATGCATTAATTTAGTCATCATAGTGTTTCTTCAATTTAAAACATTATTTCCTTAATAAGGAGTTACGTTTTTTAAAAAGGATTATTAGATGGGACTGTGTAGGTATCTTGTTTAATCAAAACTTTTCTTTGTAAATATTTCTACATTTCATTGTTTACAACCCAAATACATATTTTAAGAGAATTATACCATAATTTCAAAAATGCTTTACAATCATTGCTAATATGGTTTGCTGGTGGGTTATAAAACATCTTGCCTTAAGTTTACCTGTAGTCAAT